AGAAATGAACACAAACCTCTACTAATTCAAATAACAATAATATATTTAACTCACAATTCTGAGGGCTGGGAAATTTAGTGTTGTCCTAGAGTGAGCCATGTTTAGTGGATTATTTTTGGACTCATGTTGCTGTCAGTTCAAATGTTCACTGAGATGCTTAGATATGAATTATTCATCTGAAGATGCTGGGATGGCTGGAGTCTCTCCAGTCTCCTGTCCTCCAACAATTTTGTCCACATTTGCACACATATCAATGGCCTTGTACTTCTTCCTTGTACATGAAACTATTTCCTTTTTTTTCTTTTCTTGTGTGTTTATGTGTGTTATTAACAGGAGAGACAGAGACAGAAAGAATGTGTGCATGTGTGTTTGCAGGGAAGGGCAGATGTGTATGTGTGTGTGTGAGGGTGGGGGCACCTATGCTCTGCTTGACCAGAGGCCAAAAGAGAGCACCAAGTATCTGCTTTTGTCATTTTCCCAGGTGTTTTGAATTTAACGTAATATAAATGGGGTAGAATTATTCCTATGCTTTTCCGTCTTTCCATTCTCATTCTCCTTTCTCAAAGTTGAGGCCTAGAAAAATAGGATCAGATATTAGACTTATGTTGGTCCAGTATCAAAAAGTATTTTTTTGTGTATGTGTGTGTGAATGTGTGTGTATGTGTGTGTGTGTGTGTGTGTGTGTGCGCGTGCACGTGTGTACATATGTGTAGGGGTGTTGTTCTTTACTTTTATCCAATGAGAAAGTATAGAGATTGTACACTTATAACCAAGAACACACTTAACATCCAGATATTGGTTAAATGGAGAGTTTACACTAAAATGAACTGTTTGGTACTAGTCATTTTTAGGAAGACAAACAGTTCATTGATGATGATGATGGCAGGGCCAGCCATGGGTGCACTCTGCAGTGTTCGCTTGCAGGCCTCCAAAAGAGACATACACCAGGGTGCGGCACAGAGGAGTAGGCAAAACCACTTCCTGTCTGCACCCTCTTCCTGGCCCCCTCACAAGCTTGGAGGCCAGGAGGGCCCAGCACACTCATAGGTGGATATCTGGGCTGGCATGGCCCCGGGTGACATGTTGGCTACCCAGTTATTTTTCCTCTTAGTCACCAAGTCTTGAGTTCAGAATTTTGAGATCCACATAGAAGTTCCAAGGTTCTTAATAAAATGAGGTGCTCTCAAGTCATGTTTTAAGTCCCTTTGCTAAGAGCCAATGCCGACTCCACCAGTTCTCTGGTGTCTGCAGCCCTGCTGCTGCTATCCTGGCTATCCAGTTATTTTCTTTCTACTTTCCAAGTCTTGAGTTCAAAGTTTTTCAGTCACTATAGGAGCACCTATGATCAGAAATATATATTTGGGAGCTGGGTACCTGGGCCCTGAGGCCAGCTGCCCAGGGCACATCTCATTCTGCTGCTGTCTGGACCGAAAACATTTTTTTAATAGAAGCCTACTTTGATACTTAGTTTCCACCACACCCTGAAAAAAACTCTGCTCTGAAATTCCATATCCCCTCTGCTTCTTCTAAATTTGGAAGCTTACTCCTACAGTCTTTGGTGGCTGAAATTCTATATGTACCACATGTTCTTTATACAGACAGTATTTATAAGATGCCACAATTCGAATGACTATAACATCATCTCTCCTCAAGGTGACTAGAGGATTTTCAGCATCTTTAATTACATTTTCATAGCTTTGTGTTGTTGGATCTTCTCTCTTGTCCCCCCACTTTGTTGAATATGAACTCTAGAATAAGGACAAACTTTGTTTTCTAAATATCTTAAAAAATGTATGAAAAATGTTTGCTAAATCAATTCAAAATAAAGCTAAGAATACACTCATTTAAAAATCCTCTTATACACTTATTATTTATAAATGCATATATTTGAATACAAAGTATAGAATCATTAAATAAAGCTACATAGCATATCCATTACCTCAAAAAAACCACAGATGAAAAAATGACTGATGCTTGTAGACCTCTTACTTTGTTCTTCTCATGAAGTCAGAGATGTGAGACTCTGTTTTAGAAACTGAAGCCTTTTTAATTTGAATGAAATTTTATTGTTATTTTTGTTCTTCTAGTCTAAGACATGAATACAGTTTACTGCTGCTTTCTATTAGGGTAACAGGGACTGATAAATGAACACTATGAAAAAAAACCCAAAGGCACTTAAGCAGCAATTTATATTATTGATGCATAAGTCTGTATATTAATAATATATTCGATAAAGTATAACTTCTCATTTTAGAGAATGTGAACATGAAAAACAAGATTGCAGAGCTATATATTGCACATACACAATAATAATCAATACAATAAAATTTTCTATAAAGGAAATAATATTTAAAAATCATCATGCTATACCTGAAACAAAAATTTTTAATCAGTCTTAAACAGTTATGATTTTCCTCACTTCTCCATTTCTGTTCAAGAAATTAGATTGCAATTATCAGTAATGGTCTGCTGAGTTCAGATATAATTGTGATTTGAGTACTATATTTGTAGAAGCTATTTAATACAAGATTTCATAAAGGTGTTAAAGATTTCATAAAGATGCTAAAACAGAATGAATCTGTACTATGTTTTGAAAGTATGGATGATATGCTATCCAGAATTCATTTAAGCATTCATTTATCAATGCAATAGACATGAAACTCTATAGCATAATTTTCCTACTTTTTAATTTATTTCTGAACCTAAAAAGAGGCATCTTTAGCATATAACAAAGAAATATCTTTGGCCTGATACCATAAATATGACACATGATATTTCTGTGTCCTATCTGTTTTGTTGTAGTTAAAGTTGTACTAGTGGTGTGACAGAAGGTTTATAAAATCTCTTAGGAGTCAAAGTTTAAATAAATGAGAAATTTGCATTTCAGCTGTTATAACATCATGGTTTATAGTTGTCCACAGTGATGATGCAAAGGCCATATACCCAACCAGAAAGCTAGTTTACCAATACAACACTCATTGCAATAATTTTGTATACTCATTTAATTTCATACTGTTTCTGATCTAGAACTGTGTTCAAAACCTGCTTCCTTATATACTGGAGATTATGTTGCATGCTGGTTGATCTGGAATTTCTGAGGCTTTTTCATTGGAATTTTCTTCCTTGGTACAGGGAAATCTCTGCCCTACCTCATGGTTGTTAAATCCTCCTTTAAGCTTATACATCATCATGTTAAGCTGTAAGATACTATCAAATTGGTATTAAGCAACAGATCTGATGTGCTTTATTAATGAACCTTAGTAAACCAACCTGGTATTTATGCAGGCAGTGTCAATGACATAGAGTTAACCCAGACTGTTTTCTTATGCACACTTGCCTCCATCCTCCTTCAATTTTTCCCTCCTGCACATTTAAAAGAGAAACTGAAATATTTTTCCATATATTAGCAATTGATGAACAGTTTATAAGTTTATTCTGTCCCTAGTAGTTATCCTTTTCCCAGTGCAGTATGCTATTATTTATGAGGGTTCTGTCTTGAATTTTGTAACATGGAGTGTCTCAATATTTCTTCCATTATTACTTAGGGACCTTTATATTAAAATGTACTGACAGGGGAATACAGGAGACGAGGAAATTGAACCTGGAATTCTAGGCATGGCAACATCCCTACTCTTCACCATGAGCCAGAGTCTTACTGTAATCCCACCTCTGGGGTCAGGAGGCCAGTAAGAAAAAGCACGGTGCATCAACATGACCTGAATCTTCAACCATACCAGTACTGTGGGAGAAATATTGCTTTACTCTGCTGACTGGACTTGGGGAAATGATCTGTTCAACTGATGTTTACATAATATTCCTGTTTCTAGGAAGTGAGCTGCCTGTGCCTTCATTATTGATCAGCATAGGATCTGTGACAAGGAGGTCATATATGGAGGGAATAAGTTATTTTGTTGGAGCATGTTCATCTGTCTGCTCTTTTATTAGAGGGATATGTGTATCAGAGGACTCCATGGAATTGGCTAAGCCTTTGGACAACAGCTTGGAATCTCTCTCTCTCTCTCTCTCTCTCTCTCTCAGCAATGTATGGATGACTCTAAAAGCATAGCAGTTTCCAGTATCCTCAGATACATATATAGTGTGTGTGTGTGTAAAACAAAACAGTATACACACAGAGGTTTTGTATGAGAACATTTTACTTTGTAACTCATTGGTGTGTACGTAGCAGAAGGTCTGATTACCTATGTCTTTCCATCATTTCTTGGGCATTTTTTCTCCTTCATTTTTATTTTTCATTTATAAGTATATACAGTAGGATTCTTTTTTAAAAACAGAGGAGAAAGTTTGTATAGTAATGGGGAAGTAGGTATAATGATAAGAATGTAGAGGATAATATTGTATGTATTATTAGTTTGAGGTTTCTCAGTTAATATGTAAGCGCTAGATAAGGGAGTGACTAGACTCCAGTGGATGAAGTTACACCAAGGGACATCTGGGTACACAAGCCTGACTTGATAGGCCTTAACATGTATGACAGAATTCATGAAATCCCGTGGGGGGAGATAAGGTATCTATTGATTGTGGGGGGTCTAAATATGATTAAGGTGTATTGTATGAAATGCGCAAAATTCAATAAAAATATATACATTGGGAAAATGTATAGTTTTTCATGAGAATTTCAGACTAAATCTTCAACATAGAGATAGCTGTGAGCAAAGACAACCTTCTCATAATCTTAGAGAAATTTTGGATTCTTGAGAAGACAACATAAAAGAGGATATATTAGCAATAATTTAGCTGACTACATGAGGGTGTCATGTGAGACTGGTTTTATTGTAGTTTGGAGGCTGTCCATATGTTAAGAGATATGATCAATCTTCAACCCTTCCATACCCATATTGTTAGCTTGCAATTCACAATACTTAAGTTTATGAATGAGAAACCCGTACTTTCCTTTTTCTTACCTTCTGATTTAACTTTTCCAACTCTGAGAGGCTTCTTAAAAGGCCTAATAGCTATAGTGCTTAATCATAAAAATATTTTTCACTTTGGCATCACATATACTAAAATTGGAATGATACAGAGAAGATTAGCATGGCCCCTGCTCAAGGATGACATGCAAATTCATGAAGAGTTCCACATGAAAAATTTTTCATATAAAAAGGAGGCATTAATAAAAATCAATCCATTATGTTATTTGAAACTTAATTATGCTTTGTGCAAATATATTTTAAAACCTTAAAGAGTGTGTCTCCCTAGTTGAAGTGCTTATATGTTTGGGAATATGGGTATATAGATGTTGATTAATAAAAGAGATTCTGAATTCCACACCCGTTTTCTGCAGAATTTATAATCCACAACTCATTGGGTATAGTGCTGTTCTCTGGTTCTTTACTCCTGATTAACAAAAGGTTTTATAAAACCTCATCAGGGCTGGAGAAACAGCTCAGCAGTTAAAAGCACTGGCAGCTCTGGCAGAAGGTCCAGGTTTGAATCTCAGCACCTACATAGCGGTTAACAACTGTTCATAGCTCCAGTTCCAGGGGTTCAAACACCCTCTTCTGTGCTCTGTGGGCATTGCATGACACAAGTGCACTTATTTACATGTAAGCAATCTGCTCATACACATAAAATAAAAATTAATAAATAAAAATATTATCATAGGGCAAAAGTTTTTATTTTTATATAATATAGAAGGGTTGCATTATAATTTAAAACTAATCTGTTTTTGTTTATCCTACTATTCTCTCAAAGTCATTTAAGTGTTTCAATAGAAACCCAGGTCTTTGAGACCCATGCACAATATCTGTATAGTAAATGACAATAAATGACCCCTCTATTAAAAACATTTCCACCAAGTATAGAGTGAATTCTGTAGTGTACTGTCCATATAGCCACCTTCAAGAAGTTTTCCCTGCAACTTCTAAGAGTTGCGAAGGCTAGTTCTAACAAACTCCATTTCCAGGACATTTTTCCTAAACTTATTTTATGTTTTCTTCCTATGAAGAGTTTACATTTATTGCCTGATTTGCATTTGAAATCAAATGTCTATTGTAGTCCAGTCAGATATACGTTCGGCCTGATAAAAAGAAGTACACTAAAGGAACTATGGGACTGACCCAAGGAAACGTGGGCAGGGATAGTATATAGAGTAGAAATGGATCTTGAGAGACTGGACCAATGGCCAGCACTCTAATATAGATGACACATGCTGCAGAGAATAATGCTTCATGCCGCTAGGTGGCTTTTGAGAATGAGAGGAGGACGACTTCCATTGAACACAAACGGTGGAAGAAAAGATAAAAATACTCAGAGAGTTTAACCTATAAGAGTAGATTAACTGCATGAAGCCTGAACACACAGCTGTCCACTATGCTTTATGAGGACAGCGACAGATTTTATTTTCCACAGAGACCAGGTGAAAAGGGCACCTTGGAAGTCAATGGTGACCATATTTCATACTTGGAAAAAAACCAGAGCTAACATTGATATCTAAGGACACCAAAAAACTCTGATCCAAAGGGAAATATACAATCATAAATAGAAAGATGTGCAAGGAAGACAAAACAATAATCAGAGGGAAATGAAGTGCTTTGAAATACATATATGTTTAAAAGCAAATGGCAGGCCTAGGTAAAATATCAGGAGAACTAATAGAAATCTTATTCAGTATATAAAAGTCAAAAGAAGTGAGGAAGGAGGATTAAGGAGGCTAAGATTTATTGCCAAACTATAACTCCATACTATACCACTATCACTTGCCTAGTTTCCTGAAATGAACCAATTTTTGTAGCCTGAAAGAAGGACCAGTTCTCTAGGAGGAAAGAACTTACAAATTCATCGAAGTAATATTGGGCTGTAAATTCCAAATCTTTAACAAGGGATTCTACATTCATTTACTTGTATAAATGAATTCATTTCTGTATACTAAGGAAAGGATAGAAAGACATTCTAGAAGAGGTATGGACAAAATTTGCAGTGATATTGTTATACAGAAAGCTAAAATGTCCCGGTGATGCTCTGTTACAGTAGAAACACATAGAGTCCAGGTAATAAGTTGGTTAATGGACCCATACATAGATAATTCTCTCATTTACAAATGTATATTGATAAGGTAAAGATTCAAATTAGTTCCACTAACCTAAATAACAAACTAGGATAGTAGAATATTTTTCTTCTTTTTTTTTTTCAGTTTTCGTTGCTGTTTATTGTAGATTTGTATCCTGTGTCAAATTCAAGGTATTATCGATAAAATTTTTCAGCCAGCAGCAAGAAGTTCAAAAGTTCTTCTGTCTCTGAAACAGAAAATATATATTTATATAACATTTATGTAGAAATTAATATACCGGTTCAAAAAAATACAAAAAGGAGAATGTCAAACAAAATCCTTTAAACTGTTCAAGGAGCTATGATAGTAAACCAAAATAATATAGCATGAATTTTTCTTAGTCTTATAAGACACAAGGATTGTAGTCCCATCTGTTTTCCACTGCATTCACTGAGTCTTTTTCCCTACAACGAATTAATCAGAAAAATTCTCGAGTGTGAACGTGAAACATTAAGCACCACACACTCAGTCAAGCAGTTTGAACAGCCTTTTGGGGAAAGCTTGCAATTAAAAATGTTCTAGATATCAGAGTTCATCCAAATTAGGTTCATTTGCATAGATGTCCAGTTATATATCTATAATCTGGAAATCTGAAATTGAAATGTTGAAAAATATAACGTCTTATTAGTTTATATTAATATTACAAAGTAATGGAATTCATTGTGAAATTTTCATATGCACATATTATGTACATTGATAATATTTGCCCCACTATTACTGTCTACTATACCACTTCCCCTTCCTCTTTCATAAGCCACATCCCTAGAAGTTCCCCCTTCACTACCATGTTCTAACTCCCCTAAATTTCACCTATATCAGAAAACATGAAGTATTTATCTTTATGAATCTGACTAATCTTGCTTAATGTATCTCCAGGTCCATATATTTTCCTGAAAACAATATAATTCTGTTCTTTGTGACTGGATAATAGTCATTATCTACAATGTATACATACACATATACCATAAACACACACACACACACACACACACACACACACACACAATGATATATATCACAGACACACCTATTTATCTGTTAATGGCAACTAGATTGATAATATAAGATGACTACTGTCAAAAATGAAACAATAATCCTAGCCATGTAACCCTCTCTGGATTAAATTGAAAAGGATTATTCTGAGTATGAATATAGCAGTGGTATAGCTGTAATGTGTTATACTCCTACTTTTAACTCTTTTTTTTTATTTTTATTGATCTTTTAAAATTTCATACAATATTTTCCACTCACATCCAGACCCCTGCCACCAAACCCTATACACTCTGCCATACATGTTGAGTCCTATTCATTCACATGTTTGTACCTTAATGTCCTTCAGTGTAAATGTGTCCATTGGAGTCTAGTCAGAGATTCCAGTGGTTGTAGTAAGCCATACTCTCCTTCACCCAGCAGCAACCAAGCAATCAATTTCAAATAGATCTCTATCTAGTGCTGATCCACCACCTATTTCTCACCTCCCCTTTGGACCCTTTTTAATTAATTTGATGTGGGTCCCATGTTGGATGCCACCTCTGCCACAGGCTCACATGAGAAAGCCTCCATTGGCCTGGAAGCCTCCACCTCATATGTTACAATATAGCCTCACTTTTGAGACTTCTGTTCTGCTTCAGTGGTCTACATGTGAGTTTGCATTCAGTAGCATGTTTTTTTTCTTATTATGAGTCCAGGGAAAATAAGGAAATCTGCTAACCTAATATCTCAAGTATAACTCTTTCTGTCCAGGATTTCTTTCATTATTTGGAGTCTTTGTGCCCCATATTAATTTTAAGATTTCCTATATGAATAAATAGTATTTACACAATTTCCACCCCTCTTCTCCTTCCAACTCTTCCCATTGTCCCCATAATCACTTCATCTTGAAATCATATCTCTCTATATAGCCATATATATCTATATATAGATATATAGATATATATGGTCTCCTACTGAGTTCATTAGTGTTGCACTTATTTGCATGTCTTTAGAGCTGACCACTTAGGAATGGGATCTTTTCTCTGAAAATTAAAAAAGAAAACAAAAAACAAACAAAAAAAAACCCAAACTGAAACCAGCCAACCAACCTAACAACAAAGAGAAACTGTTCATCCTCCCCCAGCAACTATTCAATAGCAGTGTGTGGTATCTTCAGCAATAGGGTCTTACCTTGATATTCTGGGGGTTCCTTGGACTCCACTGACCAACAACTGGAAGGGAGATCACCTCCTGCTGAGGACTGAAGATTTTTGTCAGTCTATTTTATTTTTACTTATTTTTTGAAAATTTCATACATTTATACAATGCATCCTGATTATATCCACCCCTTACTCTCCACTCTTATTTCCCATAAAAATCCCCATCACTTCTCCTCCCAAATTCATGGCCTATTTATTTATTTATTTAATTTTTAACCCATGTCCAATTAGTGTTGCTAATATTCACATTGGCATGGGGTTACTCACTGGAGCATGAGGGACCTATCAGTGGACACATTCCTAAAGAAAATGATTATCCCTTCCTAGCAGCCATCAATTTCCAAAATCTCCTCAGCTCAGCATGGAGCCTTGAGAGGTTCACCCCCTCCATGCAGAAAGTTTTAGCTGTCTTAATCATGAGTAGACAACCAGAGTTCCTGTGAGTTCATGTGTGAAACAGCCATGTCACGTCCAGATGACAGTATTTCACAGCACTCCTCCTTGTCCTCTGGCTCTTACATTGGTTCTATCATTTTTAGGTGATGTTTCCTGAGCTCTGTGGGAGGGGTTGATATAGATGCTCCATTTGTGGTTGAGCATTTAATCTCAGCACCTTGAACAGTAACATGTCTCTGCATTAACCACTACCAGTTGCAATAAGAAGTTTCTCTGACCAAGGGAAGTAAGAGCACACATATCTTTGGATATAAACATAAATACTTAGAAAGCAATTTGATAAATGTCCATACAGGAAAAACTATATCAATAAGTTCTCTCCTAGGGATTATGGCTTCCCTAGCCATGGGTTTTTCCCTTGTTTACAGTATGACATGAGTCCAATCCTTCTGTGGAG